GGAGAAAGAGCTGGTCCATTCAGGGTCCATGAGGTCAGCAGGTAAGCATCTGCAGGTGGAGAGGGACACCCAGTCTTGCTTCTCTAGGAATTTCCTGGAATCCTCTGAGAAGCTCCAGCTCAGGTGTGATGATGGGAGATGGAAGCAGGTGACCACAGAGGGCATTAGGACAAGGGAGGGGTGGCGTCTGACCTCACAGGGCTGGTTTGGGGTCTCTGCTGCTCTCCAGGCTGAGCCCAGAGGCTGGCCCACGTCAGCCAGGAACCCAAGTGGATACGGGGGCAGGTTTCCACAGTCCCCTTCTCCAGCAAGGGGTCTCAGAGATATCTGCTGGAGAAGAGGACTGTGGAAAACTGCCCCCGTGTCCACTTGAACAGGAGGCTTGGGGGCGCTCCGCCCACCTTCTAGGAAGGAAGGTGGGGGCCCAAATCCCAGCTCACTGCCACCCCAGCTCCAGATCCCCATGGGCCTGTTTTTTTGAATCTGTATAAAGGAACGAGGTCGTAGGGAGCCCTACATCCCTTTTAAAGTATGCATGAGCCAGCACAAGGCTAGTTTTCTTTTGTTACATAAAAAATTACCTCCCAACTCAACAGCTTCAAACAGTGACTATTTCTCACACTGTCTCAGGATCAGGAGTCTGAGGGTGGCTAACTGGGCCCTCGGCTCGGGCCCACAAAAGCTGCAGCTGGGCCAGTCAAAACAACTGTCGGTGGAGCTCGGCCACCAGGTAGGGTCTACTTCCGGCTCCCTTCCCTGGCTATGCACAGGACTTTCTGCCCATACAGTCTCGCTGGTCACTGACTGAAGCTATCAGTCCCCTCTGCCTGGGTCTTTCCCGAAGGCAGCTCACAACATGGCCACTGATTCTCCTCAGAGGAGGTGAGAGAGAACCACAGAACAGGAGTCACAGACATTTTGAGACCTAACCTTGGAGGTGGCATCCTATCATTTTTGCTGGATTCTGTTTTTGGAGAACTGAGTCACTAGCTGTAGCCTTCACAAGGAGAAAAGATTTCACAAGGATGGGAAATCCGGAGCGGGGCAGGGACGATAGGGAGCCATCCTAAAACATGGTCTTCTACGTAGGCCAGAAATCTCGCAATAAAACTTGACCTTCTTGTGGGGGTGGAGTGGGGAATGGGATCAAAAACTGGGGGGGGAGAGGATGCACGGGATTATGGTGATGGCACACTGGTGACTTGGTGATGGGAAACCCGCGGGGATTACAATTGAGATGGAAAAAAATGTACAAAATGATGTAAAAATAAACTTTTGTAATAAAAAAAAAAGACCTTCTTTTCCCTCACACCCTGTGGGGTACCCATTAATATGCTTAAAAATTAAGTCCCCCCTACCCCACTCCTTGCCCAGCAGGAAAATGTGTGAGGCTTGAACATGTAAGAAAATCAATAAGGTTGCCTTGGGAACAGCATCATAAAAAGGGACCACCATAACCAGAAAAACCAGCCCAGTTCCAGGAATGCAGAAGCTGCAGCCAAGACCATTCTGTGTCAAAGGCCAGTGGAGACCAGACGTCTCAGCACATAACTGGTGCAAACTGGCGCCCCAAAAAGCCTGCAAAAGAGCATAAAGGAGAACCCCAACTCCTCCTTCCCAGGCAGACATGTATCTCCAGTCTCATCCCCTGCTCCCTTGCAGGTATAATAAATCCACCTTTTCTGTACTCCACTCTGTCTCTGGTTAGTTCTTTCACCCCTGTGCCTCTGGCCTCACCCCAATATTACACCATCACATACCCCATACACAAATCCTACCACATATCTTACTATCTCCGTATGATATGGACCTAGAATCCAATCACTTCTTACCACACCATGGTCTAAGTCATCATTACCATCATATTAGATTCCTATAGTCTTTTAACTCTGGCCTTTCTGCCTCACACACACACACACACACACACACACACACACACACGCCTCAGGCTCTTCCCCTCAGAGCATCCAGAGAGACCCCACCACTCTTGAAACCTACAAGCACCCCCTATCTAAAGTAAAGCCAACAGGATCTGAGATGGCTGCCAGCCCTCCCCCAGGGCCACCTCTGACGCCATCTCCTGCCCCTTTCCCACTCGCCCCTCCTCCATGGCCACAATGCTCCCTGGCCCTCCACAGTTCTTGAACACTTTGCCTTTCCTGACCTCTCCTCATGGAACATCTCTCCAGATGCCTTCAGTGCTTACTCCTTCACTTCTTTCAAGTACCTACCCAAACATAGCGTTCTTTCTAAAAAGCTCTGACGGCTGGAGATACAACTCCCCGGGCCCAACAACCCCTTTACAGTGCAGTCGAGCCCCCGGCAAGCTCACTCTGTCTTTCTCTGTCTACCTGGTAGGTAAGAAAGACGTGGGCCTGTGGACTTGAATGTTACCTCCTTGAGATAGGATGGCTGCCTTTTATTTATTTTTTCATTGTTATAGCCCCAGTACCTAGCACTGTGGATGCAACCAAAGGATGATAAAGATGCCTAGGGACTGACTGAGCACATCGTTAAAGACTGCAGATGCTCTTTTCAACAGAAAGCACCTGGAACTCACAAACTTTTCTCTCCTGGCTCTGGCATTTAAATGCCTTAGCTCTACAATCTGGCTGTAAAAAGTCTGGCTTGACTTTGAGTTTAAAAGACCCACTTAGGAACTCAGCCACCACTTGGTTGTCAATTGCGTCCACCCCCAGCCTCAGTAACAGCGTGTTAGCCTCAAGGTCTAGTTCTAATGCAGCTTGGAGGAATGACCTGCCTATACAATGCTTAGACGCGTTCAGTGGGGATCATCTGTGTTAATAACCCCAAACTTTACCCCACCCTTCAGGCGTAAGGTTCTATCCCCGTTGCATATTTTATCACAAGTATCTGTGATACCTGCTGAAGTTTACCCAAGAGCCAGGCTCCTGCACAGACACACCCAAGAAGTCTTTCTCTTTGTTTGCCAAAAACATTCACCCAAGGGAGCTTTCAAAACAAAGAGCCATAGCCACTGGACTCAAGGAGGAGGGGCTGTGAGCCTGCCACTGGTGTAAGTCCGAAGTATCGGGGTCTCGGGGCTTTCGGATGGTGGAGCCCTCAGAAGGAAGAAATGGCAGGTGTGGGTGCCAGGAAAGGCAGGGACCCTGTGGTGCTGGAGCTTCTGGGAAGAGAGACAGACACTTGGGGTCACTGCACACAGCCGTGGCCCTAGCTGTCGCTCCTGGCTTCCTACACACCTGCTGAGTATTCTCGGTAGAGGCAGAACAGACTCCACCTGACCTCACTGAAGCATGTGTGCTATTGGGGAAGGCAAACACCAAACAGAAATATGTGACTACACATTCTGGGAGGTAAGCAGGGTGTTCTAGGTTTATCTATAACAAAAAGAAAAGGGAGGACCTCCCTAGAAGCAGGAAAATGGGGCCAGCGGTGGAGAGTGTGAGTCTGCTGAAATAGCAGTGTTGACAAGCCCAAACGTGAAGGTGAGGGTTACCTGGCTGAGGTTGACAAAGCATTTGGGTCAGATCAGTTTGGCACACAAAGACACGTTTTAACTGGAGAGGGAACTTGCACGTGCCACTCCAAGGAAGGAGAGCCAAAGAAAGGGGTTATCACTGCAGTCACCTGAAGATGTAACCTGCCCCTTTGAAGAAGGCAGTGAATTGGGATGATGGATGCTAAGGGACACCTCGGGTCAGTTCTTTGCCAGGGATAATATGGAATGTCTCTGAGAAAAAATAAAACACCTAGAAAATCTGGCCTCAAAGGAAGAGGGAATTTGTCTGACAGAACAACCCTACCCCATCTCTGACTCACTCTCTGATTCTGCCCGCTCTCACAATATAGTCAGTGGCTGGAAAGGAGGCAAAGGGGAGGAGCAGCAGGGAAACTGAGTCACGGTGGAATTCTCTGCATGGGATCCGCATACAGGGAGACTTTACGCGGCTGAGCATCTGTACGGCATCTGTGTGCCGGCTGGCACAGCTCAGAAGTGAAAGGGGAGGCATGTTCTTGCTGTGGGGGTTTCTCCTGTCCCTCCAGCCCTTCTCTCCAAGCTGGATCCAGACTGGAGCAGAGAGAACAGGTACCTCTCTTCCTCCAGGATGTGCTTCTGGGAGAGTTGCTCCCTCTGCGGGAGAAATATGATAAGGGGCATTCCCCACCCCACCCATACAGGTCTCCTTGTTCCTCTAAGACAGAAACCTCCTTCCCCTCCAAAGACTTGACTCCACCTGCAGGTGTCTCCCAAAGCTCCAGCTGCCCACCAGGCAGGGCTTGTTTTGTTTTGTTTTGTTTTTTAAGATTTGTTTATTTATGCATACAGAACTGGGGTACAGGACAGAGGTACAGGGACAGTGAGAGGATTCACCAGAGAGAGTAAGGAGCAGAACAGGCAGATGTACTGAAATACACTGCTGAGGGGAGCAGCAGGTAGGACAGGAGAGGTCTGCTGCGCCATGTGAGCCAGCTCCCTGGCTGGGGATTGAACTTGTGCTGCAGTGGCTGTGGTAGCCTCATAGTGCTTTAACCAGTTGCACCACCACGGAGGGCCCAGGACTTGTTTTTTATGGACACTGCTGGGCTGGGAAAACAGAGCCCCGCTCCCTTCAAGCCCCATCCCCAGGCGCCCTCCTCCTGGGCGGTGCAGTTCATGTGGGCCCACCTATTGGACTGTTACAAAAGGCCAAACACTGCTCCACCGTGGCAAACTATGCCCACTGAAGAGGAGTCACTAATGCCCCCAAGAGGGAGCAGGGAGTAGACAGCCTAGGCACTGGGGGGCCTGCCGGTCTCCTTCCAAGCATCTTAGGACCCTTCTATCAGACACTTACTCGCTTGCAAACGATTCCTATTTCACAATCTAGAAGCAGGAACTGTCTGAACCCCCTTCACTTTCCTCCCATCACAGTCACTTCCGCTTGTATCAGGGAGACAGGTTTTCCTCCTCAGAGCAATCACAGTCCAGATCTCTTTGGAGCCACATTCAGACAGAGCGAGCGCCAGAGGCTGCCATGGTACCCCTCCCAGCCTCTCCACACCACCTGTCTCTGCCACTCCTGCTGCTGCCTGTGCTGCTGGGACCCACAGGTGAGTGCCATGCCTGGGGCACCACTGTGCAGGAGCTCACCTGCATGGAGCAGTGTATTTCAGTACATCTGCCTGTGATTCTGCTCCAGGGCCTCATGCTTCACTGCCTCCTCTTTAAGACATTTCTCTAAATGTTTTCTTTTGCAAGGACCTCCTAACAAGTCCCCCAAATCATTTTCACTAGTGGGGTCCTATTCTTGTACATGCACTTTGTATCAAGCTTTCCTACATTAGAAATAGAATGCATTTGCTATTTTTTTCTTTTTTCTTTTTTAAAGATTTATTTATTTGTGCATACAGAGCTGGGGTACAGGCCAGAGGCTCAGGGGTGGCGAGAGGCTTCACCAGAGACAGAGTGGGGAGCAGAACAGGCAGATCGATGAAGTACATTGCTGAGGGGAGCAGTGGGCGGATCAGGAGAGGTCTGCCGCGCCACGTGGTCACCTCCGGGGCAGGCAGGAATCGAACTCATGCGGAAGTGGCTTTAGCTTCTTAGAGCTGTGCTCTAACCTGCTGCGCCACCAGGGAGGGCCCTGCATTTGCTATTTCTTTACAAAATGTGTTCACCCTGTGTCTTTGCCTGGATGCTTGTATAAGTGCCAAGAAAGGAATTGCTAGGTCAAAGGGTATGAGTATTTCAAAAGACTTTGGAAATACAGAATTTCTCAATAAAAATGTGAGGGCTGAATGTAGCAATATATTATCTCTGCATGTACAACAGAGGAGCAGGAGTGAATAGTGAACGTGATGACTATTTGTGACTAAACAAATTTGGTTAAAGTCTTTCTGCTCTGCTTGTTAAACCATGGCTTTATCAGGTATATTCCTATTAGAGGGTCATGGTGATGATGCCATAGAACCGTCCAGAAAGGTGGTGTCAATTTATAGTCCTACCAGCAGTGTGGGATTACTTACTTCTTAGCCACAACCTGGCAACCCTGAAGTTAGCAGTCTTTTTCATTTTTTACCAAGCAGATTTTATAGAGATTGTGTCTTTTCTTAGTTTCAGAAGGAAGGGCATTTTCTTTTATTTATTATTATTACATGACAGGTTTGTCTTACAAGGAAGAAATGTACAAACAGAAAACAAAAGTTCCTATTCCCATGCCAGTCCCTGAAGGCAGCACCTTTTAAAGGTTTAGCTTATTTTTCCGTCCAGGTAACTTTCTGCTACAGATATAAAATAGCACCTTGAATATGGAGTAATTCCACGTATCCTTGGGTCCAAATCCAGGTTCTCTTCAGTCACTGATCCTCTGTCTCTCTTGGTATCAATCACTCTATTATTACATCCTAGCTGTGCTTAACGTTGAATAGGCTGAGTTCACTTTTTGAAGCTTTTCAGTTATCCTATAATGGAGTGAAGCATTCATTTACATGGCATTCTGCCATTAACTAATGTGGTTGAACATCTCGGCATAGATCGGCTTCTTCTCTCATCACTTCCCTGTCTGTGACCTTTGCAAGGACTGTCTCCTCAGTGTCTCTCTCAGCACCCATGCCACGTGGCCCCTCCCAGGAACCAATACGTGAGGTAGGCATGGAGCCAGGCATGGGACTCCAGCCTCAGTCTGGGGGCTGTGACCAGCCAACTCCGGGGGCTGGAGCTGACTAGGGCTTCTCTCCAGGAGTGGCTGGCGAGGAGGAGCTGCAAGTGCTTCAGCCCGACAGGTCCGTGTCAGTGGCAGCCGGACAGACGGCCACTCTGCCCTGCTTCCTGACCTCCCTGCGCCCTGTGGGGCCTGTTAAGTGGTTCAGGGGGACAGAGCCAAATGAGGAGTTAATCTACAGTTTCAAAGAGGAAGGTCACATCCCCCGAGTGACAAACGTCTCGGACACCACAAGGAGAAACAACACGGACTTTTCCATCTACATCATCAACACCACCACGGCAGACACTGGGGTGTACTACTGTGTGAAGTTTCATAAAGGGAGCCCTGACGTGAAGCATAAGACTGGGCCAGGTACCAGAATGTTTGTGCGAGGTAAGTGTAGCTCCCTGAGAACCCTCCCACTGTTCTGACATAATCACAACCTCAGGACTCAGCCCAAGGGTCCCCCCACCCCGTTTTAACCCTGGCTGACAATAGAAGATGGGGGGCGTGAGAAGCGATATGGAGGAATAGACTGAAATGTAATTCCAGGGCCACCTATCAGCAAAGTCCTAAAGTTTAAGAATCTTCCGTCTTCCAAAGACCACAACATAGGGAGGATCACCAAGGGGTCAAAAATCCGGACCCCAGGGACAAATGGCGTGGATTCCTCTTCTGACTCCCATTTACAAACTGTGTGACTTTAGTTAAGTTTCTTAACTTCTTTGTGCCTCAGTGTTCCATCTGTAAATCATAAAATAGTGCTGTGAGGATTAAAACAGGAATAATTTATAAAAAAGCACTTAGTAGGTATCTGTAACCTAATAATTGTTGTATTAGTGAATGCTGCCATATTTAGGGTATTGAAACCAGTCAGATTTAAAAACATAATCTTAAGAGCTTGGAACCATAGAAATAAGAATGATAGAATTATTAAGGTAAGGTATTACAAAATTAATGAACTTGATGTGAATCTGTGATCCTTAGGTTTCTTAAATTTGACCTTGGTATCTTCAAGCCCTATATTCCTGACTGATACAATCACAGCAGAATCAAAGTGTGCAAGACTCAAACAGCATCACTGACGGGAACCTGGGAAGCAGAGGGGCTAGTTGAAGCTTGTTAGTATTGATGGATTAATGGGCATAATGTTCTTTCGGAAAAAAAAAAAAAAAAAGAAATCAAGATTCCAGACTTTACAAGAACCATGAAAACAAACATCAACAGAATTTTTTGAATCCTTAAGTGTTAGTACCTAGGTCCCTGGTACACAGTCTTTGGGAACAAAAAGAAGGTCACATGATTTCCCAGAATTAAAAATAGAAAGCAGGTTGTACTTGAAGCACTGTGGGGAGATCAGCATGAACTGTCTAAGGGGAAAAGTGGACACTAAACCACAAGGTTTAGAAGCTTCTAAATTCTTGGGGAAATGATTTCTTGCCTAAAGTTCTATATACAGTCAATCTGTCAATATGCAAGATCCCCAAGAACTACCTTTCGTGAACACTTGTGCTTTCCCCAAATAGAGGTTAAACAGCGAAATCAAGAATAGGGAATCGGAGACCCAGGATAACTGACATGTGTGTGGTACAGCAGTGTGGATAGGCAATTCCAAACAGAAGGACCGAAGGCTCAGATCATCTCAAAAGAAAGAATTTCTAGAATATTGAATTGTTATATAACATAGCCAATAGAACTATGAAAAGAATGTGTTTTCTCTATAGATTATAATTAATACCTGGAAAACTTAAATAATCAACAATGTATTATAAACAATAAGACAGCAGTGCAGCAATTTGTAAGATCAGCAACAAAAATCATTAACTTTCATATACACAAACAAAACAAATTAGAAAATACTATCAAAAAAAGAGCATGTATACAGTAAAAAATTTAATTATATTAACTATTTAGGGCAATATCTGCCAAAACAATAGTCGGGACTAGATGAACCCTCCCCACTAAAAATCTGGGGAAACTACCTGAGTGATGGCTGACAAGACATTGGCCATCGGTGACAAAGAACAAAGATATCTGAGAGATGAGCAACAAGTTAAGTGAAAGCCAACATAGCCTCCAGCCGCTCTCTGAGAAACCTCCTGGTCAGCAGGCAGGAAAATACAACTCAATTGGAGCCTCGACATCTCTGAATCAATAAGATTGGTTGTCCAAGGGGGTCAAGATGACTATAGTGTTTAGAGTAGAGCCCCAAAGGTGAGAGACAGCTCCCAAAACCTTGAGTACTCCATTAGGTACTAGAAAATGTCTAGTTTTGAAGGAGAGGAAGTTAGAGTAAGGATGTTTGCATATCTGTGCTATATGAGTTTGGAAACACTGATCTTTGGGAAGCCCAGGAGGCCAGGAGGGAAGGAAGAAAGACATGGTCCAATCTGCATTGTAGCGTAATTGCCATGGCCTGGTGTCTAGGGAAGAAAAAGTCAGCGAGGCCAGTCGGATCTGGTATGATAAGAAGAGTTGTAATATATTTTATGAAAGGAGAAAACACAAACGAAAGAACAGGTAATAAGTGTAGCTGGGTGAACCACAGGGTGGGCATTGCACTAGAGAATGATTTGTGATCATCATTTCTCTTTTCTCTCCACCACCTTCCTTTGATCAAAGCTAAGCCCTCTCTTCCAGAGATTTCCGGTCCCTCCTTCAGGGCCAGCCCAGGCCAGGTAGTGAATCTCACCTGTGTGTCAAAGGGCTTCTTTCCCCAAAACGCATCCCTGAAATGGTTTAAAAATGGAGTGGAGATCCCAGCCTTGGAGACCGTCATCGTGCCACGTGGAAACGCTTCCGCCTACAGCATTGTCAGCACTGTCCTGGTGGCACTTGCCTTCTCGTCACTCCACTCCCAGGTCACCTGTCAAGTGTCTCATGATGAGTTGCCAAGTCCCCTCAGTGGGCATGTGAACTTCTCCAGATTCCTCAAAGGTCAGTGCCCCACCCCCCATCCACCCACATGGCCATCTCTTGACAAGCACACGATATTCTGATGGAGCATTTCACCTGCCTCCTCCTAGCTAGTCACCAAACCCCACTGAGGGGTGGGCTCGAGGCCCCTACCCACCATGGCCATCCGCTTCCATGGCTCTCCCACTTTCTCCAAACCTTTGGTTCCTCATTTTTCCCCAGATCATAGATGAGACTCCATCAACCCACGCAGCAACCAGAGGCCTGTTCTTACCCAATGCAATTGACTGGACTTACATCAAGTTCTACCAGTTTCCTTCCCAATTCTTTTCTGAACCCATCTATTTCTTTCCCATGTGAACACTCAAGCTAATGCCCACGATCAACATAGCCAACATAGTCTCATACCAGGAGGTCACAACTCTCTTCCTCCTAGCTACCAATGCCCTAACATTTTCCCCCAGCCCCTCAGCTGCCAAGGACACTTTATAAAGGAAGCTAGGTCATGTCCTTCCTTTGCTTAAACCCCCTCAGAGGCTTACTGCTGCTTTTCAAAAAAGAACCAACCCCTACTAGTGTGTTCATCACTGTTCTCAAGTGATCTCAAGCAGTGTTGTTCATATAACCCTAAAATAGTTGTGAAGAACAACGATATTCATCATAGATTTCCAAGTTAGTATCTAAAATTGTTCACCATATGCTTAAATATTTGCAAAGGAACTAACTGCTTGGATATTTCAAATCTTATTTCACCCTGAAAATGTTCAATGGAAAAAAACACACATTTGATTTCCACCACATCCAACTCAACAAACTCTTCTTTAGTCATCGTAAATTTGTATCCATCTTTTTCCTTCCTAAATTTGTCTTTCCATGATAATTCCTAGGGAGAATGCCCTCCTAGTTTAGCATACTTTATAGCTGAAAGTCTTTTATTGACCATAACATCATCCATATCATAAAGAACTGTAAGAACCAGGAAATTACCAAAAATACACACGCAGCTAGGCTGGGCTTCTCCATACTTGGTGGCTGTTTTCCAAAGGTGAGTATCCCAAGAGAGGTAGATCCGATGAAGTCACAAAAATGAAAAGGACCCAGGATCAAAGGTCACGCTGTGTCATCTCTGCTGTGCTCTGTCCATCAGTCTGTCACATAGTCCCACCCCAGTTCCAAAGGGGCAGAAGCAGGCTCTCCCTGGACGGTGAGTGACAAACATCCTGGGACTCTATTGGGAGTCAATCCCAACCCAAGGTGGGCATAGCCACGTGTAGTTAACTGCAAACCAGCTTTCATATTTCTGCTCAAATGCCATGGCTTCCAGAAACTGTTCCCTAACCCACCTCACCTCCAGACCAGGTCAGGTGCCCCAGAAGGCTCTCAGAGCACCCTGTGGAGACCAGGTGAATGCTTTTTGCTCCTGACCCCACACTCCTCCCACGCCAAGTGGGAATGCAGAGACAGACCTTGCCTGCCCTGCTCATGTACAATCCCAAAGCCAAGCACAATGCTCACAAAGGTGCGTGATCCTTGAGTAGCTCTTCATGGAGGGAGAACGTAACAGAGGGTCTTGTGTCAGTTGTACCCACAGTGACTATACTGACACACTACGTCCCAGGCCTTCGGATGACCATTTTCAATTGCCATGTGGAAAGGTTTTACCCTGAAGTCAAACAAATCACCTGGCTGGAGAGGACCGGATGCTTCAAGACCTGTGAGGCCTTCGCCCCAAACAAGAACCCAGACGGCACATTCAGCCAAGACAGTCTCATCCTGGTCAACGCCTCAGAGTGTAAGGACAAGACACAGTTCACCTGCCGCGTGCAGCATGAGGACCAGGTGGAGACCAGCATGCTGCTGAGCGAGCCCCAAGAAGAGCAGGAGAGTCGGGGTGAGTAAGCCCAGAATGGCCACGCAGGTACAGGTATAGCCTTGCACATAGACAGGCTTGACCAGGCCAGTGATGTATGACCTTGGGAAAGTCACTTCACCTTTCTCAACTTCTTCATCTGTAAGATGGGACAGCGATCACAGCAACCTCTTCAGAGTAGGTACCAAGGAGCAGTATGCGCTGCTGTCCACACACAATTGGGTCTTGGCAATGCACGCATTTTACCAGATAGTCCTGTGATACTAAAGTTATGATGAAAAATCTTTCCCTAATTCCCACCCACCTTCCTCAAAGTCATTCAGATTGAACTTTACCAAGCATGCTTTCCTATGCTCTCATTTAATACAAAAATGTTCTAGGGTACAGCTTATCATCCCCATTGTAAAGACCAAAAACTGAGGCTCAGAGAAATGAGGTGATTTCCTCCAGGACCAAGGTGGTGTCTTGGTCCTGAGTCTGAGGTGGGGCTGCAACAGTCTGGGGGTCAAGCAATGGAAACAGGAAACTAGACTCATCCTGGTAGCTTTCCGTCATCAGGTGCCAGAGATCCCAGCTTCTTCGGGACCCTCATCCTGCTCACCTGGAAGTTTATTCCCCTAACTGCCCTGATGATCATCTGGCTCCTTAGGAGGAGCCTCCCTTCCAGGTAAGATGCCAGAGAGGGGGTGACTCCCAGCCATGAGAATCCAGGCCAACAGGGGGTGCTGTGAAGAGAAAGTCATGAGTCCTTGACCTCCCATTTCTCCTCTACCTTGAAGACATGTTGAACCCAGAGTGCTCCTAAAAGCTGCATTTTAAGCCTCTCAACCTTTCCCTCTGGGCCTCAGCTCCCAGATGAGGATGCAAAACTGCAAGCTCCCCTGGTCTGCACAGGCAGAGCTGTGCGGGGGTGGAGGAAGAGGAGCTGGGGGGAGGGGAACCTTGGGGTGGTCTCTAAGGAGAGACATGAGAAGAACCAGGGAATCACCCACATCCTTGCTTCCTCAGGGGCACGGGATCCTCAGCCCTACATTTTATTCAGGATCAATGCAGGATGAGGGCTCGCCAGGGTCCTTAGAGCCATGGGCCCCACTTGTCCTGTGTCATCAGCCTGTGAAACCTGCCTCGCCAAGCTGTCCCTTCCTTTCCCTTGCAGCCCTGGAGGAGGTGGATTCTTAGACTGAGAAGGTAAGAAGAGACTGGGGGTTGTGCCCTATCCAGGAACCAAGCTTCTGTGCTGTATGACCCTGAGCAAGAAGTCCAGCAGAAGCAGAACGGATTCTGATCCAGGGAGAAGCATCAACCTGCAATGCTGAAGGTCTCTTCTTCAAGGAAAGTCCACTGTGGGCACCAAGCTCATCCACAAAATCTTTACAGCCACCTCAATAAAGACACATTCCAGAAAACACTGATGGCCATTAAGCCAATGTGTTGGTGTCCAAGTTCATTACTAATTTCAAAAAGTCAAAGTGAAACTGCTCTGCAACTGTCCCTAATCAAACACCAAAACTAAAGAAGCTGCTGGCTTTTCTCACATTGCTGACAACACTCTGGAAAACAGTGGAAAATTCTAAGTTGAACATTCACATATCCCATGACTTGGCACTTCCACTCGGTCTGTACCCAAAAGAACCACATGTGCACAGAACATATGTGCAAATACAGACATGGGAGCTTGGTTTAAAATTAGCAAAACTGAGAACAATCCAACACTCATCTACAGAACCAGAGGGGATTATGCTAAGTGAAATAAGTCAAAAAGGCAAATACTGGATAATTTCACTCGTGTCAAATACAGAGAAACAAAGCAAAGGAACAGACAAAACTAACCCAAAATCCCTAGAAATATGACTGTCTGCTACG